AGTTTTCCTTCGTAAAACAGCAAAGAAAATACTCAAAAACTACAAGAACAGAGAATTTTTTGGCCAAAGGACCCGGAGGTTCAATGACGGCTTCTAACGCATAATCCCCTATTGAACATCCCTAAGGATATTGCTCGAATCCACTATGAAGCTCCAAAATTTGGCAAAGATTGAATACATTACAAAAACTACAAAGGGTTCAATGAAACCTCAATCTCTCGAACTCTCTTATAGCAACAATCACTCACAAAGAAATGTATTGCTATATCCTTCTTTCAAATACAATAATCTCACACAGAAATCACTCAAGATTATCTAGTTGATTACCAAATATGAACACAAACATAGAGAGAGTTTTCACAAAGACGAAGAGATAACAAGACCCAAGTAGTGAAACCATAAGGACATACAAGTGACTTTTATATAGGATAAGCCCAAAAGATGGATCCAATGATGCAAAATATTCCAAATGTCAAGCATCCTGTGAAGGTGTGACTTAATCACTTATGAAAACACGCTTTTACTATTCTGGAATCATCTTAAAAATGGATCGGCAATGGATTGATTTTTGACTTAAAATTCTTGCTGGATCAGATTACGTAGAGTACATTGAATGTACAGAAATGACTGTAACAGAGTTTCTCGTATTCATACTAACAACTACTCTAAAAGGAATGTTTTTATTTATTTATTTATTAAATTGGGTCCTCAAAATGTAGCAACCCATCTTTACAATCTCCCCCTTTGCTACATTTTGGGATTCTATAGATAGATTCGAACTCTATTTTACAGATCATTTGCTCCTTTCAATCTGTTATAAAAATAGAGAAATAATTAGTTTCAAGATTCAGTAATGCTAAAGAATCCTAAAATTTATTCAATGATATCACCTTTGTATCTGCATCAACAGCAAACCTCTACCTTATTATCTATAAATTCTAATTTATTTAACCAACCTTTCAACCAAAGACGTTCTTTTATAGCTTTACTTTCAGTAGATGATAAATCAACTAATTTTTGAAACTAAGATTTCCTATTAATGCAAGTACTATTTAGCACATAAAAGTATGCAGAAGTAGAATTTTTGTTATCAGAATTGTTGACAAAATCATATCAACATATCCTTTCAAATTGAAGCCATTTTTATCAGTTTTAAACACAAGTCCTGATTTCTGAGTATCCTTTATATATCTGATTAAATGTTACATGGCTTCCCAATGAAGCTCACCTAAATTACTCATAAATCTGCTCAAAACGCTTACAATAAAGGCAATATCAGGCTTGGAACATACCATAACATACATGACGAAACTTACTACATTAGCATAGGATATATTTGCCATTCTGTTGAACTCATCATCAGCTTTAGGTGAATGATCAGTAGATAACTTCACACAGGCAGATAAGGGCAAATTGACAAGTTTAAACTCATTTAGCGAAAACCTCTTAACAATCTTTTCAATATAAGACTCTTGTGTCAAAAATAATTTTCCATTTGTTCTCTCCCTCTTTATTTCCATCCCTAATATCCTTCTAGCAGATTTTAAATCCTTCATTTCAAATATAGATTTAAATTTTTCTTTCGGAGAATTGACAGCAACCTTATCATGGCCAGCTAAAAGCACATAATCAACATATAGAAGCAAATAAAAGGATTCAGAATTTTCAACACTTTTAAAATAGAAACAAGGATCATAATTTGACTTTTTAAAACTAAGTCTTTGGATGAAAGAATTAAATCTTCTATACCATTACCCGAGAGCCTGCTAGAAGCCATACAAAGATTCTTTAGAAAATACACACTGAGTTTTTTTAAGGCATGAAATTTTGATCAATGAAATTTACCGGTGTACTTGTACAAGAAATTTTGATCAATGAAATTTTCATTTACCTATATAAAAAAATACTATTCCACCCATCTTAATTTTGAAAAATGGGGCCAAACGGCCTTAGTTCCCATTTGCCATTCTTTAAAACATTTTTTAAAATTTTTTATATTCATTTTTAACCACACATTTATATAATTAAATATTTTCAAGTAAATTCAAAATTTCTCTACTTTTTAATCACATTCTCCCATAAACCACTATCCAAAAATTATTATTTTTAAATAATGTCCATCAAACATGGCTTAACTCCTTATGATTTAGTTAAAAAATTAATAAAAATTAACTAAAAAAATAGCAAATTTTTTTAACTTCATGTACAAAATATTTTATTGTAAAAATATGTAATTGAATTTGAGTCTGGAAAAAAAAAGAATTTTAAAATAATAGTAGACAAATAGTGACTTAAACACACCATTTTTATTAATTTTCAAATGCAATTTATTAATTTTGTCAAAATTTATTTTTTAATTATTTCAAATAATAATTAATTTATAAACCATAAGTCACTATTTGTCTACTATTATTTTAAAATTCTTTTTTTTTTTTCAAACTCAATGTCAATTACATATTTTACAATAAAATATTTTGTACATGAATTTTTTTTTTGCTATTTTTTAATTACATAGTTTTCAAAAAATTATAATTTTAAAACTCATTTTCAGTAGGCTGGGATTATTTTCTGGAAGGTCGTGTCAGCATACGGACTGTGTACTATTGGTAATGAAACGAAATTTAAAAAATCACCAGCTGTCAAATTTCACAGTGATTAGATTGATCAAATTGGTGTTGACTAGCTCTGATTGGAGGGTTATTTGCCTATCCCCCATTAAGCCCCCATTTGACCTTCATTAAATTACATTTCATTATATTCTATTACGTTTCATTTTTTTCTTTCCTATTTATAATCGCACAATCTTTCATAATATAATATTACATGTAAATCGTAAACTTTTTTTTTTCAATCACTTATTTTTCAACAAAATACTATTCCACCCATTTTAATCTCAATGTCTTTTGTTGAAAATTGGGAATTTAGACTTGTAATCCATGTTTGACTCTCTTTAATGGAGTTTTAGCACCTATTTATCTTTCATTAAAATAAGTTCCTTTTTGACTACCTTTAAGTTAAAACGGCTCATTTTTATACTTATCACAAAATAGGGGCTAAATTTTGGAATAATGATTTTTTGTAGAATGTGTGGTTAATGATAAAAAAAAAATTGAATTAACGTGCAAAATATTTATTATGTGAATGTATGGTTAAAAATGAACTTGAGAAAAAAGAATTTTAATTTAATAGAAGACGAACAGGGGCTTAATGTTATTTGTTTAAATTATAATAGGTAGTAATTGTAGATCTTATCAAACTTATAATTAAAAATAAAGGTTGACATTGATATTTACATTATGAATATGAATAGATTATAATTGAAGACGAACAAGCTTTTAATGTTACACAACAACTTGGGAGGTACTTACACGTGTGCCGTTCCGTCTGCAACATAAGTTTGGTCACTAATTTTATAGACGGACTAATGGACGATGGTTGATTGCAAACAAATTTCAAAGGACATTAGAGATTCATTCGATAGGGCTTCTATTTTTTATTTTCTTCATTGAAGAGTTTGTTGAGAAAGTAATATTAAGCTAATTTTATATAGAAGATTTTCGAATAAGATAAAATATTTCCAAAAAATTTTCAAACAAATCTAGATATAACTTCTTAATCTCAAAAATAATTTTAAACTTTTCAAAAATCTCATCATATGAGCTATGACTAATCAAGGACAAATTAAAATTCGATGACTAAGTTGAAATATGTGTGAAACTTCTTTGACAAATTGGATTTTGGATTATGCTACATTTACATAATGATTTACTAACAGATTATTGACGAGATCTGATTATATCAAAATTTCATCAATCAACTAACTTTCACACATACATTTTAACACATTGTTAGAACTCATTTGTTGAAAACTTACCCATTTTTAGAACTCCTAGCTGTTGGAATAATTTCATATGTGGGTTTCACATTCAATTGTAAATTTTACGGGTTAGATATGTGGCTCATAATGATATTTGTGATTGGGCCAAATTTATTAAGTGATAAATTTGGCCTTTTCCACCTTACAGGTTGTAATTAATTTGATGTGGTAATTTTAAACATGTGGGTCGAAAATAAACCCTAATTAGAATTCTAATCGTAATGAAACGGCTCAATTATTTCCTATATAAAGGCTAGGTCCCCTCTCCTCTACATTTGTTTTATTAGCTTGCCCTATTGATAGTTAATACTTTGTGAGGAGCAACGAGGAGAAGATTTTGGCTGCTATTACAGCTATTATTCATATCAATAATGGCATCCACATGTATGAATTCGTTTTATTAATTTATTGAATTGTGATTCTCGATTATTAGCATGATTACAAATAAATTCAACAATTGGTATTAGAGCCTTCATATTAAGATCGAAATCCTTCGTGAAATTCTTTTTTTTTTTTTTTTAAATAAATGCATCACAATTTAAATATTAAAAGTTAATGAGACAAATATTTAGTTGTAATTTTGTAATTTTGTGTTTTTTTTTTCCATTACAAAATACAAGGAGCAAACGTCTTTGACTCTCTCTTAATAGAATTTAGATGGAAACCGTTATCAAGGACTCTTTGCTAAGTAATGGAAAGAGATGGAAATAACGATAAAATGTAAAAAAAGTTGAGGACATAAGTTTGATAAATGTTGCATACTTTCATACAATAAAAAGGTGGTGCACTTCAAACTCTTTTCGATGCATTCTAATATTCAACCTTTCATGATAATATTATAGCCCTATTTGGTAGGGATTAAAATTTAAATTTTGATCTATCTCAAATTCAAAAATTAATTTTAATTACATATTTCAAAGGAATTACAACTTTTTAACCACACATTTCATTAGTTTTTATCAAAATCTACTAACCTGATTTTAAACCCTACTAAACAAGGGCTATATTTTAGCAAAAACTATTGTCGAAGACAAGTTGTGCTGTTAATAAAAGTTTGAAAATAAAAATTCAATAAAAAAAAAGTTAGGAATATAAATGTTACAATAAGTAAAGATTAAGAACCTTAAATAAAATTAAAATGTAATTTAACTAATGAAAATTGTTTGTGTGAATACAATTACCTAAAATCAATTTCCAAAACAAATCTAATTACAATTGAATCACCAATTAAAGAACGTTAAGCTTAAATAATAAGGGGATGATCCCTATCTAACTTAATGATCTAATTCACCACCCTACAATTCTTCCTGATTTCTCCCTGGTTTCCAGTTAGGACATCTATGTATCCCATCTTCACCATTGCAGCTGCAAACTTATGTTTCCAAGCCATTTCATTCTTGGCATTTTCCCTCACAATCCCAGCCGTTGATGGGCTATTCACAAGAGTCTGATCAGATGTTAACACCCCATGATTATTCTTCAAATTTTTATAGTATTTATTGTCCAATCTGTTTGGTGTCCGCACATCAAGTGGCACAGTTTGATCATTTGCAGCATTTGGTGGACACTTTCTCTTCAACGCTCTAGCAAACATAGGATCCAATGAAGGATCTTGTCCTTGGGTTGAACTGAAATTGTACAGACGTTTCGAGAAGGAAGAACAATGTGAAACTCCAATGGAATGTGCTCCCGAAAGAGTCACCATGTCTTGTAACGAAAGACCTTTTCGTGCAAAATTTTCTTCGATTTGTTGGGCGTTGAATGTAGGAGGAGGAAGGTTCTGACCTGCCTCGTCTTCCAGGGATATTCTTCCATCACGACGCCCTGATGGCACCGCATATTTTATTCCACCCACGCCTTGAGCACTATCACGAGCAGCGAATGCTATGATATCTGAGCACGAGACTGTTTGTGGGCATATGGCCTCAAGTTCAGCCTTCGCCTCATCAATCACTTCATATCCACGCAAGCTCGGGTTATTTGCCGGATTCTCCTTCTCTGCAGGATTACCTGGTGTTGAATCAAGCAGGATCGAAGCATCACACCCCTACAAAACAAGAAACGCTACACCAAATTAGTCTTTCTATGGCGGCAAAAAGACATGGCAGGTACCTTAAAATATTCCGTCATGTAATGATCAGCTAGTGAGACAGATACACTGATCTCTGATCCTTAATTCAATATAATAAAGTAAAAACGAAATATAACTAAGGCATACCCTAACAAAGCAATCATGAAAATGCATTCTAATTAGGCCTGCTGCTATGCCAGGGTTTCTTGAGACAACTTTCTGCACTGCTTTCTTTACAATTGCTTCTGCAGAAGGGCAGCTATAATGATAGTAACCAACTTTTAGGGAAGCCAATGAAACTGTAGCTAATGTGCAAAATAAGATCAAGAAAATTAATGGGGTAAAAGATTTCATTCCACCAGTCTTCATAATCATATACCTAAAGCCAAAGCCGAAATGTATAAATCAAGAAACAATTGATTTTTCTAAGGAAAAACTGTGTTTTGTTAAGCCAAAGAACAATAGAGAAAGTTGATGTGATTATATGTTGGGTTGTTTTTGAATTATATATAGTGAACAATGGTGGGGATGGGGTGGAAGTACAGAATAAGTCTTTGT